TGTTGGCTCCAGGTCCCTCCTTTGTAAAGTGAGGGGCCTTGTTAAATGGTGGGAGTGCTCCACTGCCTAAAGTCTTCCTGTACACACACAGGAAGTTGATGGGATGTGATTTTGGGGATGGAGCCTGCCAAGCCCCGTAAGATTTAGGATTGTAGGCAGTGTGGGAAGGGATCGACTCCTCAGGGTGCGACTCCTCAGGGTGCGAGCTCTGCGGGGCCGAGTTTGTATGGAAGCGATGTAATTCGTCCATCTGACGGAGTGTGTGTTCCTGAAGTCTACCTCCTGTGTCTTGCTTGTGTGGATGAGCCTGGACAGAGCAGTTGGACCCAGCCTTAGCTGCCAGGCAGCCCGAAGGTCAGGCTGGAGCCATCAGCCAGTGATCCAGTGGAGAGGAGTGGGAACTAGAGGGCCACAAAGTAGGTAGTGGTAGCTGCCAGGCAGCCCGCCAAGGTCGGGGCTGGAGCCATCAGCCAGTGATCCAGTGGAGAGGAGTGGGAACTAGAGGGCCACAAAGTAGGTAGTGGTAGGCTCTTCCAGAAGTGGAGAGGATGGGAACTAGAGGGCCACAAAGTAGGTAGTGGTAGGCTCTTCCAGAAGTGGGAGAGGATGGGAACTAGAGGGCCAAGCAAAGTAGGTAGGTAGGCTCTTCCAGAAGTGGGAGAGGATGGGGAACTAGAGGGCCACAAAGTAGGTAGGTAGGCTCTTCCAGAAGTGTGAGAGAGGATGGGAACTTAGAGGGCTACAAAGTAGGTAGGTAGGCTCTTCCAGAAGTGGAGATGGGAACTAGAGGGCTACAAAGTAGGTAGTGGTAGGCCTTTTCCAGAAGTGGAGAGGATGGGAACTAGAGGGCCACAAAGTAGGTAGTGGTAGGCTCTTCCAGAAGTGGAGAGGATGGGAACTAGAGGGCCACAAAGTAGGTAGTGGTAGAGGCTCTTCCAGAAGTGGAGAGGATGGGAACCAGAGGGCCGCCAGCAGGTAGTGGCAGGCTCTTCCAGAAGTGGAGAGGATGGGAACTAGAGGGCCACAAAGTAGGTAGTGGTAGGCTCTTCCAGAAGTGAGAGGATGGGGAACTAGAGGGCCAACCAGCAGGGGTAGTGGTAGGCTCTTCCAGAAGTGGAGAGGATGGGAACTAGAGGGGCCGCCAAAGTAGTGGTAGGCTCTTCCAGAAGGGAGAGGATGGGAACTAGAGGGCCACAAAGTAGGTAGTGGTAGGCTCTTCCAGAAGTGGAGAGGATGGGAACTAGAGGGCCACAAAGTAGGTAGTGGTAGGCTCTTCCAGAAGTGGGAGAGGATGGAACTAGAGGGCCACAAAGTAGGTAGTGGTAGGCTCTTCCAGAAGTGGAGAGATGGGAACTAGAGGGCCGCTGTGCTAGGTAGTGGTAGGCTCTCCCGAGAAGTGGAGAGGATGGGAACTAGAGGGCCACAAAGTAGGTAGTGGTAGAGGCTCTTCCAGAAGTGGAGAGGATGGGAACCAGAGGGCCACAAAGTAGGTAGTGGTAGGCCTCTTCCAGAAGTGAGAGGATGGGAACTGAGGGCCACAAAGTAGGTAGTGGTAGGCTCTTCCATGGAGAGGATGGAACTAGAGGGCCACAAAGTAGGTAGTGTAGGCTCTTTCCAGAAGTGGAGAGGATGGAACTAGAGGGCCACAAAAGTAGGTAGTGGTAGGCCTTTCCAGAAGTGGAGAGGATGGGAACTAGAGGGCCAACAAAGTGGTAGTGGTAGGCTCTTCCAGAAGTGGAGAGGATGGGAACTAGAGGGCCACAAAGTAGGTAGTGGTAGGCTCTTCCAGAAGTGGAGAGGATGGGAACTAGAGGGCCACAAAGTAGGTAGTGGTAGGCTCTTTCCAGAAGTGGAGAGGGATGGGAACCAGAGGGCCACAAAGTAGGTAGTGGTAGGCTCTTCCAGAAGTGGAGAGGATGGGAACTAGAGGGCCACAAAGTAGGTAGTGGTAGGCTCTTCCAGAAGTGGAGAGGATGGGAACCAGAGGCCAAGCAAAGTAGGTAGTGGTAGGCTCTTCCAGGAAGTGGAGTAGGCGAACCAGAGGGCCACAAAGTAGGTAGTGGTAGGCTCTTCCAGAAGTGAGAGGATGGGAACCAGAGGGCCAGCAGGTAGTGGCAGGCTCTTCCAGAAGTGGAGAGGATGGGAACTAGAGGGCCACAAAGTAGGTAGTGGTAGGCTCTTCCAGAAGTGGAGAGGATGGGAACTAGAGGGCCACAAAGTAGGTAGTGGTAGGCTCTTCCAGAAGTGGAGAGGATGGGAACTAGAGGGCCACAAAGTAGGTAGTGGTAGGCTCTTCCAGAAGTGGAGAGGATGGGAACTAGAGGGCCACAAAGTAGGTAGTGGTAGGCTCTTCCAGAAGTGGAGAGGATGGGAACTAGAGGGCCACAAAGTAGGTAGTGGTAGGCTCCTTCCAGAAGTGGAGAGGATGGGAACCAGAGGGCCACAAAAAGTAGGTAGTGGTAGGCTCTTCCAGAAGTGGAGAGGATGGGAACTAGAGGGCCACAAAGTAGGTAGTGGTAGGTTCTTCCAGAAGTGAGAGGATGGGAACTAGAGGGCCAAAGGTAGTGGTAGGCTCTTCCAGAAGTGGAGAGGATGGGAACCAGAGGGCCAGCAGGGTAGTGGTAGGCTCTTCCAGAAGTGGAGAGGATGGGAACTAGAGGGCCACAAAGTAGGTAGTGGTAGGCTCTTCCAGAAGTGGAGAGGATGGGAACTAGAGGGCCACAAAGTAGGTAGTGGTAGAGGCTCTTCCAGAAGTGGAGAGGATGGGAACTAGAGGGCCACAAAGTAGGTAGTGGTAGAGGCTCTTCCAGAAGTGGAGAGGATGGGAACTAGAGGGCCACAAAGTAGGTAGTGGTAGAGGCTCTTCCAGAAGTGGAGAGGATGGGAACTAGAGGGCCACAAAGTAGGTAGTGGTAGAGGCTCTTCCAGAAGTGGAGAGGATGGGAACTAGAGGGCCACAAAGTAGGTAGTGGTAGGCCTTCCAGAAGTGGAGAGTGGATGGAACCAGAGGGCCACAAAGTAGGTAGGTAGAGGCTCTTCCAGAAGTGGAGAGATGTGGGAACTAGAGGGCCACAAAGCAGGTAGTGGTAGGCTCCTTCCAGAAGTGAGAGGATGGGAACTAGAGGGCCACAAAGTAGGTAGTGGTAGGCTCTTCCAGAAGTGGAGAGGATGGGAACTAGAGGGCCACAAAGTAGGTAGTGGTAGGCTCTTCCAGAAGTGGAGAGGATGGGAACTAGAGGGCCACAAAGTAGGTAGTGGTAGGCTCTTCCCAGAAGTGAGAGGATGGGAACCAGAGGGCCACAAAAGTAGGTAGTGGTAGGCTCTTCCAGAAGTGGAGAGGATGAACCAGAGGGCCAAAGCAGGTAGTGGTAGGCTCTTCCCAGAAGTGGGAGAGTGGATGGGAACCAGAGGGCCACAGGTGCTAGGTAGTGGGTAGGCTCTTCCAGAAGTGGAGAGGATGGAACTAGAGGCTGGGCCAAAAGCAGGTAGTGGTAGGCTCTTCCAGAAGTGGAGGATGGGAACCAGAGGGCCACAAAGTAGGTAGTGGTAGGCTCTTCCAGAAGTGGAGAGATGGAACCAGAGGGCCACAAAAGTAGGTAGTGGTAGGCTCTTCCAGAAGTGGAGAGGATGGGAACTAGAGGGCCACAAAGTAGGTAGTGGTAGGCTCTTCCAGAAGTGGGGAGGGAACAGGTGGCAGCAGAGTCTTCACGGAGGGAGTGGTGTTTGAGGTGAATCCCGAAAGCCGGGGTGTCGAGACTCAGGATGCAGGCGTGACAGGCTTTCCAGGCAGCGGCAGGAGCACGGGCTGATGGCTGGCGGGCTCAGCTGGGGAAGAGTGCTGTGGCACAGTGCACCCACAATGTGGGTGCTGGCTGGGGAGACCCGGGGCTGGGACCAGACTGAGGGGCCAGGGACACTGCACTGGGCCTGTGCTGGTGGTGGTGGGGGCTCTGTCCATGGGAGGTGAGGAGCACGCAGAGGTCTTCAGCCACGTGTGCGCGTGTATGGTGTGGGTGATAGGACTGTGTTGCACGTTGTTATAATAAAACCCTCCTTATGAGTGAAGATGGAAGAGAGTGGGTGGGAGGAAGAGATGGTGGAGAGAGAGATCAACTGAATATACTGAGAATATTGGAAGGGAGGAGGCCGGGATGACTCCTGCGTGCCTGGCCTGGGTACCTGAATCCCTGCTAAGATTTTGTAAGGGATGGAAGATGTTTAAGTTTGTCTTCTTGAATGGTGATAACTTTTCAGAGGTTTAAAGAAACCTGTTTACTTAATGAGGGAAATTTAGAGCATCCATCCACCCACCTGTCCATCCACTCATCCACCCACCCCCTCACTCATCCATGCCTCCCTCCCTGAGGAAGTCTCCACTGATAGGCCAGGTACTGCTGCACAGTGGCCCGTGGGGTGTGGAGGAGCAGAGAGCTTCTGCTGTGAGAGCCAGCTTAGGGACGGACTGAGCCAGGGTCTGGTGAAATGCTGCACATTGCTTGTGAGATAATAAATAGTTAAGATAATTGAAACTTGATTTAAAAAAAAAAAAAATTAAGGGCCATGCATGGTGGCTCACGCCTGTAATCCCAGCACTTTGGGAGGTTGAGGTGTGTGGATCACTTCAGGTCAGGAGTTCACAACCAGCCTGGCCAACATGGTGAAACCCTGTCTGTACCAAAAAATATGAAAATTAGCCAGGTGTGGTGGCTCGTGTCTATAGTCCCAGCTACTTGGAAGGCTGAGGTGGGAGGATCGCTTGAACCTGGAAGGCAGAGGTTGCAGTGAGCTGAGATGGCACCACTGCACTCCAGCCTGGGCGACAGAGTAACACCCTGTCTCAAAAAAAAAAAAAAAAAGCAATTGATTTTTGTTTATATTTGTATCTTAATATTAGGAACAATGAAAAAATACAATATACATTTCAAGTAATGGAATGCTTTCATTTTAAAGTTTCTGCCATGTTTACTTTTTGCTTTACCACCTGTTCCATTTTCTTTCAGATTTTTGAAAGGATCTTGTTTATATGGGCGATCCGCCACCCCGCCAGTGGATACGTTCAGGGGATAAATGATCTCGTCACTCCCTTCTTTGTGGTCTTCATTTGTGAATACATAGGTAAGATTTCTCGAAAACATTAAACGTGAACTTCAGTGGACTTGCTGTGTGTTACTATGCATAATTATAACAATATTGAGAATTGCCACTAAGTTTAATGTTATTAATGATAGGTAATATTAGAGAATAATAGTTTTCTCATCGACAACAGCTTTCCAAAATGTCTTAATCCACATGCTCAACTACTGAAGACATTAAGTTGCAGTTGTAATGATTAATATCTTCTTTTTAACAATATTTGAAGATAGATAATATATTTGGGGAGTGTTGTTTATTCTTAAGGCCATCACAGTACTGACTTTAATGGTTTCAATCAATCAATCTGCTTATTTTGTTTATTTTGAGATGGAGTCTTGCTCTGTCACCCAGGCTGGAGTGTAGTGGCGTGATATTGGCTCACTGCAACCTCCGCCCTCCGGGTTCAAGCGATTCTCCTACCTCAGCCTCCTGAGTAGCTGGGACTACAGGCATGCACCACCACTCCCAGCTAATTTTTGTATTTTTGGTAGAGACGGGGTTTCACCATGTTGGCCAGAATGGTCTCGAACTCCTGACCTCATGATCTGCCCACCTCATGATCCTCCCAAAGTGCTGGGATTATAGGCATGAACCACCATGCCCAGTCAGTGGTTTGAATTTAAGATTAAGGTGATAGAGTATCAGTCACATATTTTGCTTACAAGCTGAAAATCAAACTTCTTTAATTGCGTTTCTGTGGCATTTCATCCCTTTTCTACTTTTGCTGTACTAGTAACATTTGGTTTTATGCGAGTATTAATTACTTGTGAAATAGCTGGTTGAACAGCGGTTTCCGTTGGGCTATGTTTTTATGCTGTTTCTCTTTAAGCACTGCATGGTTTTCCTTTATCACAATCAACTGTACTATAACTTAATCTGTTTTGAATATGTTTTTAAGTTAAAACCTCTGATAATAAAAGTGAAGATCTGCTTTTAAATTCATCTATGAATGAAAAATAAATAGGAAAGAGGGGACTTTACTGTTTACTCACAGCATTTTAATTTAAACCCGGTTTTGTCTTCCTGCAAGCCTTCTGGACTGGGTGCTTGCCTGTTTTTATTATATGGTGTTTTTAGCATTTCCAGTTTGTGGTCGGCTTCAGATTCCCATCCTTGGTGTAATCTGGAGAGATGAGCTTTACCGGAGGACAGATTATCCTCCGAGGATGAGGACATATCCATGGAGTGAATTTTATTGCAACCCCTCTGAGACTTTGTTTCCCTTTATGATTTCATAGGAGGTTGTCTCATTGCTAAGCAACTAATGAGAGCTGCCGCGCCTCACTCCCTAATCATCTCTTAAGTAGGGGAGAGGCCGCTCCTGAGGGTGCTTTGCTTTTCTGCCTCTTACCCCTCATTTGCCAGATAATGAAAATGCTCTTAATGCTCCTAGAACAGTAGGGCCTCTGTCAGTAGACTTCAGAGTTGTTAATTGAAAGGAGAAGTTCAACTGAGATGTGATTAGAGAATTGATATTCCGTGTTAAATAGACCATTTAATTAATGTGGTAAATAAGTTTGTTTTAACTACTTTACCACCAACTTCTGTTGTAAGACCCAAGCGATTCTGAAGGCATTTGCCTGATTATCTGCAAGACAGGACGAAGGGGCATGACCACGGTCTTAATTGTCCAGAAGAAAGAAAGACTGGAGAAAATGGAATTTGTGTCTTATGAGTGGTGTCTTCAGATGAGCTCAGAGACACTTTCCTTGTCTTCCTGCGTCCCCGTCCTTCCTGCATCCCCGTCCTTCCTGCATCCCCATTGTTCCTGTGTCCCCGTCCTTCCTGCACCCCTGTAACACACGCAGGCACATGCACACACGTATGCACACATCAGAACACAACCACACATTGTGTGGGTATACAGTGTCACTTTCAAACATCTGTGTAAAACATATCATTTATTTCTGTTGGTCAGCTATTAAGTGGACATATAAAAATGTTTGGGTTGGGTACGGTGGCTCATGCCTGTAATCCCAGCACTCAGGGAGGCTGAGGAGGATGGATCATGAGGTCAGAAGTTCGAGACCATTTTGGCTAACATGGTGAAACCCCATCTCTACTAAAAATACAAAAAATTAGCTGGATGTGGTGGCACGTGCCTGTCGTTCCAGCCCCTCGGGAGGCTGAGGCAGGAAAGTTGCTTGAGACTGGGAGGCGAAGGTTGCGGTGAGCCTGGATGGTGCCACTGCACTCCAGCCTGGGCGATACAGTGAGACTCCGTCTCAAAAAAAAAAAAAAAGTTTGGTCCCAGATTTCTCATGTGATTATTGCATTTGTAGTCATTTTTAGATCTTGCTTCCTAGGTTTGGGGAATGTTCATTAGTATAGTCCAAGTCCATCTTTCATTATGTTGTAAAGAAGTGTTTAACTTGCGTGGTGTGCTGTCCAGCTTCCTTGTGGGGCTGAAGTTTTGTCATTCACGCAGCCCTTCATGGAGTACCTGCCCTGCTGCTGGGTCTGGTGCAGAGCGCTGGGGTGGGAATATGACTTCAGTTCAATGCAGCCAGTGTTGACAGCATCTCCTGGCCCTGTGCTGTGGGAGCGGGGCAGGAGAACAAGGAAAGCCTGATCCCTGCCCTCTCGGAGCTTGTGGTTGTAGCACGGAAGACGGATTTTAGATGAGCAATTTAAAGTCTTAATTAAAGTAATTAACATTCACATTATCAAGAGGAAGCCTGGGCTGCTGTGAGGACCTGTCCCCTTTTAGGGGTCAGGGGAGGCCTCCAGGGTGAGGTGACGTTTTAGCCATGTCTCACAGGATGAGGAGGAGCTAGGTTGAGGCTGGGCATTAGGAGAGGGCAGCAGGAGGGCCAGCCTGGAATCCAAGGCACAGTGACAAGTAGTGGCACTGGGAGGAAGGGCAGGGCAACTTGGGCTGCGGTGCTCAGAAGGAGAAGCTTGGGGTCGAGTCTCAGGGGCGTGCAAAACCCCCAGCCGCTGTGCTCAGGTTCTCCTCTTTGAACATTCATTCTGGCAGCTGCATGGATGAGATTGGAGGGTTTCTGGGGAAGCTCACAGACCAGGGACCTGCAGGCTCCAGCACCGGCAGAGGCATGGGTCCCCTCCAGAGAGGCTGTTCTGGTTTGCTGAACTCTTAGTTTGCTGAGTCTTCAAGCCAGTAAACCTCAGACGCTCTGCTTAGTGAAGATCTTCAAGATGGACTGTTCCTTCTGAGAGTAGAACCTGGTAATGGGATTCTGTGGTTTCGACACCTGAGCACCCACCAGTCCTTGGGCCTCAGCGTTCAGGTTGTCACGTGACCGCTTGTACACCTTTGGTGCAGCTGCCTGTAGCACTAGCCCGGGCGTGGCTACCTCCTGAGAGCTGCAGCTGGCCTGGTTCTGGCGGTGAGCTTGTGTTGTTACTTGGATATTCCTCTTTCTTTGAAGTACAGGACAGAATCCCAGTTAATCAAAGGTTTAAGAAATCCCCGAGGTGTGGGATTTCTCCAGGGGCTTTCAGACAACAGCAGACAGATCTGTGATGCCTTAATGGGAGCTGGGCTCTTTCTGGGGACGTGTGTTCGCCATGTGTCCAGAGCCTTTAAAGATCCACAGCTCCTGGCCTGCCGCATGCTCCCACTGGTTCCACGGGACGTGGGGAATCCTGGAGCGTGGCACAGGTCCTGAGTAGGAACAGCTCTTCAGGAGTGGCTCCTCGTTCTGGCTCTCAGTGGGAGGTTCCGACGCTGCACATGCTGGTACTCAGAGCCCTCTCAGTGTTACGTTCTTTGACTTGGAAAGAAGGATGTGGTGGGCTTCAGATTCCCATCCTTGCTGTAATCTGGAGAGATGAGCTTTACCTGAGGACAGATTATCCTCCTAGGATAAGGACATATCCATGTAGTGAATTTTATTGCAACTCCTCTGACACTTGGTTTCCATTTATGATTTCATAGGAGGTTGTCTCATTGGTAAGCAACTAATGAGAGCTGCGGTGGTTGAGGTTGACACACAGGACCTGGTCTGAAGGCAGACCAGTCAACTAGGTGAACTGCTTCCCAGCACAGGAGAGAATGTTCATCTTCAGCAGGAGGCCGGCCAGCATGTCAGAGTCAGAGAAACAGTTTGTAGTGGGGGAGCAATGCTCAAGCTGTGTGGAGGTGTGCTCAGGGGGTCAGGGTTCGATGGGTCTCCGTGGGTGCCAGGACGTTGCCAGCCTGAGTCAGGAATACATGGTATGCATCCCAGGTCTCCTCGTGGAGCTTGCCAGTATTTGGGAAGGGCAGTTTGGTCCTGCTGTTGATGGATGCAGAGTCTGTAAATGCATGTTTAGCGCATGCACTTGCACACACATATGCTAGGCACACAGGTGTGCAGGCTTCTGCACACAGACACACACAACCACACAGAGACACAAACCCGCTTGCACGCTCCTCACTAGTGCTAACCTCAACCTCTCCAAGCATATGCGGAACAAATGTGTAACTAACCTTTGTTTGAGTGGCACCCGCCAGTCTCGCTCAGCCCCTGGAGGAGCCTGTCATTAGAGAAAGAGGTCAAGCCATCTTTCATGACCTCAGAGGCAGGAGCAGCAGCGTGTGCAAAGCATGTGAAGATCATGAAGTCCAGTGAATACAGCCAGTTAGACATCACTGAAGCTTGGGGAGAAAACCCTACAAGTGAAAATGAAATGAGAGGGTATAATTTGATTGGAGAGATCGATCACGGAAAAGTTCTCTATGCCAGGAAGGTTTCGCAGCTCGTAAGTTTCAGAGGTTGAAGCCTTAGGGGGTGGGGAAGAAACTAGAGACGCATAGTGATAAATTTGCTGAAGCTCGAGTGTGCCCATTCCAGTTCAGAGCCGAGTGTGGGTGCTTGTTGTTGCAGATTGCGTCCTTGACCCACGGGGCGGGCAGAGTATGGAGGAGACTCCAGTTAGCACACTCACTGGAGATGACACTCAGCTAGGAACAGGCAGAAGACCCACTTTTTAGTCTAATCTTTTGGAAGTGAAAGGAAACAGCAAGGCACATTATA